CTCTTAGAATATAACATATTTTCCTCTGAGCCGACATCTGATCCACAGCTCTTTTGAAGTGTCAAAACATGTTTGTGAATGGAGTGGCTGAATGGCAGACAGACTCACCTCCAGCAAACTTAAATGGAACGTTTTTTGTTCAAGCTTGAAAATAAAGGCTGGACAGACAGGAGGGTGGAAATATTCAACAGCTGACCTTTTCTACTTTTACACAGCGATCCTTAACCCGGGAAACATGTAACAGCATGGAGACTGACGCAGAAATTACCCAAAGGTCATGTTATTCATCCCCAATGGCATCGGCCATTTTTTCTCTGAAAGGGATTGAAAGAATTTGAGGTTATCACTATTTCTGCTCAGCCAGGGACACTTTGGTTTTTGGCTCTTGTATGTGTTTAGTTTGTCTCCATGTAGTGAAAAAAAATACTGTATGATACAAAGCCACAGGATTAAAATTAATTGAGAATTCGCACACTGTTCTCTGGCAGCAGATTGTTTACTTGTATGTCGCTCGCATATGGGTGCCAATTCTTCGATGTTGAACCAAGCAAATGTGCGTGAATTTGTGTGTGTGTGTGTGTGTGTGTGTGTGTGTGTGTGTGTGTGTGTGTGTGTGTGTGTGTGTGTGTGTGTGTGTGTGTGTGTGTGTGTGTGTGTGTGTGTGTGTGTGTGTGTGTGAGTGTCTTTGCAGTGTATCAGGGGTTTTGGCCTGTTGGGGGTTTTGGAGGGTGCAGTGCAGGCTGGTGAATAGGATGCTTTTGTGCTCAGTCTCTCAGCTGTCTGCAAACGGGTGAAGGAGAGAAAGGTGAGAGAGAAAGGGGGCATGAGGTGAGGGAGATAAAGCCAGATAAAGGGGTGAAGAAAGGAAGGGGTAGAGATCGAATGAGAGAGAGAGAGAGAGACACTGTGAAGAGAGGGGAGTACAGGTGAGAAGCGGTGGAGAAGAGAGCTGGTGGAGAGGTGAGGAAGAGGAGGGGAATGTGAGACGCTACTTGTGCATTCAAGAACACTGCACCGTTGTCTTTCCAGCAAACAAAGAGACAAAGAAGTTAGCGAGTGTTAATCGTTGCTATTCATGTCAGTGGAAAAAGGAAAACAAATGTCCCAGAATTTTTTTCTTTTAAAGAGAATGTGCCCCGCTTGGCAATTTTGATCACTCTGCAGAACACAGGAGTGACCTCATGGCCTCAACCTTCACACATGACGGGGTTTGGAAATGAGCCAATCATTCTAACGGATGCTGATGAGTTCAGTGGAGGCTGTTGCTGTTTCCACTGTATTACATATCACATAAAGAGAACCATCGGACTGTACTACTTTATAATGAAAAAATAATGTAGAATGCATTCTTTTAAAGGCTGAGCATTACAATAGAGAGCAGGCTGGGAGCATTAGAAGGTCAACTGTGATGCAAAGTCTTGATGTGTGATATTTGAGAGACCTTTAAAGCACTAAAAAAAGAAACATAGAAAAAAAAAAAAAATCACATGAGGAGGAAAACACCCAGGACCTTTTGAGGGGAAAACTCAAGCAGGGAGGGTGTAGTATCTAAGTAGGGCAGGGTGTCGGACACAAGTATCTTTTTGGTACCAAATAAAATATATCTGCAACACTGAAAATCAAAAAACAGACAAATTATTTGAATCCAGCAAAAACTACAAAAAAAAAAAAAAAGATCAAAAATGATCTCAGATAAAGTAGCTACCCAAGCAAAAATCCCAAACATTGTCAAGACTACAAGAGACTTGGGTTAAGATTGGGCCGTTAGGAAATTGGACATTAAAACTTTAGTATTCACAATTATAAGATATTTTGTAAAGCAAAAAATTAACAAATCATCTTCAATCAGCGGATTCATCCGTTATAGCAACTTAATTGTTTGTTGCAGCTGCACTGTCATTACATGTTTTGGGCAAATTAGTGATCTTGTTTACCCTCTTGTTTGTGGCGCTGATGATGATTTTGCCAATTTTCTCAAGTTTTTGATTCGGGCGACTTTCTCCTTGGGTTTCTTGTGTTCATGCACACAACAATGTCAGTCAATAAATACATACAAGCTAATGAATGTAGTTAAAAAAGTTCTCAGAATGCTGTCAGTCATTCCAATGTAAAGCAAGTGATCAAATTAAAGTGTAAACTATTGTTTTTGTTTGTTGTTGTTTTAGTTCAGCACAGCACAAGTATCATATCTGCCAACATAAGTGTTGTGTTTTACCAACGTGCACATCTGTGTCAGAGCTTCCCGAACTCATCAGGTGTTTGTCCAAATACACACAAAGTGTTTGGAAACTTGCTCCATTATGTCAAAACTCATAATCATGATTATTTTTGATTGATACTGATATCATGATTATTAAACACGATTACATGATGATTTGACATTTGAACATCTGGATCACATGAATTGATCCAAAAAAAAAAGTATACTTTCACATTCTAAACACTGTGAAACAATAGGAATAAACCTAAATGAATAAGTGAAAGAAAATAAAGATATCAAAATGATAATATATTAAAAATAAATAAAATATTTGTGAGGTACTGGTGGTGTTATCTTGTGGCCAAAATAAAATATAATATTCTGTGCATGCGGCACAGTCATCATTTAATCTTGATTATATATTTTTTTGGTATCTTGGAAATCCAACCTTGTAATTGAAACTTGATTAATTGCCCGGCCCTATAAATAGGTTTGAATAGTAAAACTGGGGTACTTATTGAAAGAAAACAGGGACAGGATGGACTACATGAAGGAGGTCTCCAGAATCTTTCACTCTCAGATTCATTTGAAGCATTTCAGTGCACATCAGACTTTTTGTCTAGATAATGACACTAGACCTCCCTCTTCACAGCCTTAAATACGATCGAGCTGTTGAGTCACCAAAACTCTACAGAAAAAGTAAAAGAATATGAATAATAAGGATGTTTGCGCTCATGCTGCAAAATAACACTTTTGGGATTTTAACATCCAAACAGATGTGTATCTCAGTCTGTTGCACGCTCTCTTAAAACACAACACAGAATCTTCCATATGCAGTTAGGCACTAATGAGATATTTTTTCCAGCATACATAAAAATTTTGAGATGCAGTGCGTCATTGCCTGTTGATTCAGACATAGCTAAACCTACTCCTCCATTAGATTCTTGTTCTTCTCTAACTGAGTCAGAATGATAATGGCTCTAACTAACCTTAGCGTGGACGGATGAAAACTTTCTATCCTCCCACTCGGGGGTCCTCTGAGGCCATCGCAGCGTGGCGATCACTGATGAAATAGCAGCGAGTGGCAGAGGGCTGAGGGAGTGGGCGATCGGGACACAAACTGTTTCCCTCAAACAAGCAGCAACATGAGCTGGCAGAGACATGGCATCCATACCACCACACAGCCAATACAGCATGTGTCCTCACACACACACACACACACACACACACACACACACACACACACACACACACAAACACACACACACACAGAGTCTGGCTAATTGCATATGCAAGAAGTAAATAAAGTGTTTCCAACTGCATGTAAGAGAGCTCATTTGCATATTAACAACAACAAATGTCTCGTGTTTTCACTTGTCATATCAGGCTTGCTTGTGTTGTGCAAGTCCTTCAGAGGTATGAAGGATTGTCTAGTACTCAACAACAAACCCTCAAAGTGTAATCAAAGATAGCCACAATAGAAAGCAAACAAGAGGAGAAGAGTGTTGATGAAGCCAGGTGATGATGTGAGGAGGCAGACATCATTAGCCCCCATCATCACACTTCATCAGAAGGAGAGGGAGTGTGCCCGCTAATGAGCTGGAAGTATGAACAAAAGCAGATGGCTTTATGAGTCAGACAATAAGGCACTCATAATTGAATGTATTCCATGCGTTTCCATTTAAACACTCGAGGAGCCATTTTTCTTCTCGCTGTATCTCAATGGAAAATCCATTATCAAAGGCATTGAAGAGCTGCCATCGCAGCGAATCAGCTGGATTTCAATGAGACGTTTCAGAGCTTGGAATAACTCATCATGCCTGAAAGAGAGATAAAGTATAGTCCCGACAACAGCCTGAGGACTATTTGTATAGGGCAGAGCTGCTATGATTAATCGCTGAATCAATTGCCGATTGAAAAGGAAAATTGATTGGCAGCTATTTTTTTAATAATCGATTAATTGTTTCAGTTCATTTTTGATGCAAAAATATCAAATCAGTGGTTCAAGCTTCTCAAATTGTCAACTTTTATGTGTCAATAAAGAGATTTGAGGTTTTGGACTATTGGTTTTGGCAAAAACAGCAATTTTTAAGGCTTCATTTGGGGATTTGATACCTTTTTTCACTTTTGATCACATTTATTGGACAGAAGATTTAGCTTACTGATTTACTGTAAAACATTATGGGCATTTATGATTATTACAGTATGTGCAACCAGGGTTAGAGTTAGATGGTATTCAGTATTTAATTATGTTGTCAATTCCTAGATAGCCTATTGTGTTATTTTGTAAGACGAAGACTAATTAAGAGAGTGTTTTATTTTTTACAGATTACTTTAGTTAAATGTGAGATATTTAGCGCAGTGGTATAACATGTATATCTCCTCAGGCTTAGTTTACCTTGTTTTTCCATACAGTTCTGTTTCAGAAAACTAGATTTAACGCTCAACTTTCTCAATGAAAATAAAGTTGCATCACAGAAACTGAAAACAAAAGGGGGGCAGGATGTGATTTACACTCTACATAAACATGACAGCAGCTGTCAATCATCCCACACTTTGACAACATCTTTTTGCACAATGCACAGAGAGAAACTTGGCCGCTGCTCCTGCTGCTCTAATCTGTTTTTCCTCTTGAAAAGCTCACAGCGGGACGGCTGTCTAACGGAGCAATTAAAGCCTCTTTCTTAATCCTGACGCCCCCGAAACAACTGGAACCACTCTTCCTTCTCCTCCTCCGCCTCCTCCTTTCCCTCCTCCTCAGCGTTATAGCCTACAGCAAGTGCAACACTGGGCTACTCACCCCCAGTTTCTTACTCCGTATCCTCACGTATCCCTGTTTCACTATGTCGTTGAAGTTGGAAGCCATGGTGACGGGAAGCGGGTAGCTCCCAGCCCGAGGGGTAAAATTCAACAAAGTAACCTCTTCTTTCCGGCGCGGAAATATTTCACTCGGTAGTCGGTCGGTGTGACATCCAGCGGCAGGAGAGCGAGCCGTGGGCAACCTGCTCCTGTGTCAGCGCTCAGGCTGCCCGGCTTTAGCGGCGCGGTCCATCCGGGAGAGGAGGGAGATACCATTCGTCAGCTGATTCATTGAGCACGAGAGGAGCGAGCAGAGCAGAGGCGCGCTTCCTGGACCACACCATCCCTGAAACAGGGAGGGGGCTGGGGGAGTAACAGCCGGAGGATGGGAGGGGGTATCTTCAAATTAAGGTGGGGGGGGGGGGGCTGAATTCTAATATCAAGCCAACTCTTCTCATGAAAATGCTTTCACATGAAGCTTTTTCTCCATTTGACAGTTTTTTTTCTTATGAATGAGCTCAGTCATAACATTGTGGTCACACCTTTTGAATGCTTCAGATAGGCCGCTTTAATAACACACTTAAAAGCTTACAGTTTTTAACCTGGCTGTAAAATCTTGAGCTTGAAAATGATTTCTTTTTTTTTTTTTCACTCAGTTGACCTAAATACAGGTTGTTTTCTTTCTTTCTTTGCAGTATTTGCCTTCTTCTGGTATGGGTAAACGTCTATTTGATGATTCCAATTTAAAAAATAGAATCTGTAGGCATGGGACTGGATTTTGCTATCAGAGGTGTTCTGGCTTTTTGTTTGCAGAATAAGAAGTACACTACCAGCAGGCTGTAGGAGAGTTGTCTCTGTGACACTAATTTGGCTGAACGTGATCTATCTTAACGCCAACCCTGAGTCCATTTGAGCTCGGGCTACTGAGTTCCGCAGAGTGGCAAACTTATGTAATGGATGTTGCGTTTTACTAGCTTTCCATACGTTTGCTGACGTTATGATTTCTGTTGATGTCTTTTTACATTATCCACTTACGGTCACCTGCTGCGTTTTTTGGTTTGCTTGTTGTTATAAGACAGGAAATTATGTACACTATACAGTATGTTTGGCATCAAAGTCATTAGAACATCCCTGTTTCAGAAGCTCTGATTGTCAACTGACAAGGCAGGAAACCGCTTGGGGGCCCAAGCCAGTAGGGGGCCCCTGAGGGCTGACAAACTTTAGACCAAAGCAGGGGCTCAAATTTTTCAATGACAGGCAGGAACCTCCTCAAGAGGGCCCAATCTGATAGCGTTCACTCTCATTGCATTGCTGAGAGTCAAATGCACTATTCCTATGAAAACCTGTAAGTTTGTCAGCCACTAAATAAAAATGAAGATGAATTAGTGGGAGTGCTGGGAGTGAAGAAGGGGAGGAAAAAGTAGGACATAGGATCATGACTTGATTTTCTGACACCAGCAAAATAAAAGGATCAAGTGCCCCCTCCAATAATGCTGATAATGGTAACTATACTTAATAACATGAAGGGTATGGCCCTCTGTACATTTTTGCCTCAGGCCCCAACAGACCCTATATCACCACTGAGTCCACTCTTTTGGTTTCAGCCAGAAGTTGGATTCAATTATTTGGTTCACCGATTTATTTTTAAGGGAGAAATTAGAACTGCATAAAATCATTGGCCTCACATGCTGTTACTGTGACCGTTTTATTGTTATATTTACTGAATTTTGTTTCACGTTTTGAGCTGAAAAACAATCAGTAGATAAATCAAGCAACGAATGAATATGGGCTCTTGTGGTCATTCATCCTTTTGATCTCTAAGTTCCTGTATAAGCAAGCGCTCAGGGTCAAGATCAAGGTATTCCCCTTAATAACGATGTCCGACAAGAGAACTTGCTCAGTGAATTTTGATATAATGTTTGAAATGTAATGCAGCCATTCACATTCTGGGCTCCTCTTCTTCCCCCAACAACATGTTCAAAGAAAATATGCAAATGTACAGCAGAGCTTAGTGTTCAGACTAATTTGAAACACACTTTGTACCTTGCCTTTTGGTTATTACCTGTCTGAGTTTGAATATCATTTCCATATTTTTCTTACCACACAGCACGCTAATAAGGGAATTCAATTGGCGGCGTGTGTGAACGCCATGTTTTGTCATTGTTAACCAGCCTTGAATTGATGTTGTTTGATTTGCTGAATAATAAAACCAGATCGCCCAGTTCCCTGTTAAAGGATCAAATAAATTGCATACAACAAAGCGAAGCATACACCCACCTCCTGCAGCTTGTACATTGTAAGGAACGTTGCTGCAGATTGGCAATCAAAAAGCTCTGAAAATAAAAGCACAGAAACAAAAAAATTTTGATCCTGCCAAAGCTATAATCCTGATCAGGATGTAGTGAGAGGCGTAGCTTGGGTTTTTGCAAATCGCAGAGAGTGAAATCCGTGGTATTAGGTAACAGATGGCTCAGGTGTATTGATATGAGGGGGCTGCCATTACTTACGTTGATTAAAATATGGGGAAGAGGAATCACTTATGTAAGAGAGTTACATAAAAACCACAAGATAAAGTGAAGATCAATTATGTTGTCTGACAATCCTAATTATTACAGGCTCATTTGGGTGGAAAAGAAAACAGTATTCCTTTACGAAATGAGGACATAGAAATATTCTAGCAAATAATTTTCTATTACTTGTTCTAATTTATTTAGTTGTAGTGTTGCTCTGAACTAAAATGTCCTCTGCTGACACAGTGAGGGGTGGGGGGGGGGGGGGGGGGGCATTGTTCAGTGGGAATTGATTGCTGCCACTTTGAAAAGTGCTTTTCTGTCAAGTGTCAGCTTTTGAGTCCAGAGGTAAAACTCAATGTCTGTATTTTCTGTCCTGTTCATCACATCCACGAGGGCGCACAAAGCATCAAGCTGCCATCCTTCCAACAAACAGCTTGACTCTGATATTCCTCATGTCTCCCTGGAAGTGTCCTCAAATTTCAGACTTGTCAAAGTTGTTTTGTCTTTCTAATCCTCTTTGTACAACATGGCGCCGTTCCATTCCCACAGCCTCGTCTTTTCTGTCTAAGAAAACAATGCTGACAGCAACAATGTCTCTTTCACTGAACTGAATATTGGGCTCTGGCAGTGCTGGAATTGTCCTAGTTTTGGGGGAAGTAATAACCTGCTGTTAAACAAGACCAACAACCAGGTTGCGCTCTGAGGTAGAGAGGATGCTTAGTCAGTGGGCAGACTACCACATTTGAACATATGGCCCTGACATACATGAACGAGTGCCAGCAGGGTCAGATGTGTTGAGAGTCATTCGAAAGCAGACAGACTTTAATCAAGGTCACAAGTGAAGCAGCCAATATCCGGTGAGCTGTAGAAAAAAATGTGATGCTCAGTATCACTATTCTAAGGCTCTAATCAATGGACTTTAAGGTTCCCCAAACCAATTTATTCTGGCAAATTAATCCTCTGAGGGAAAAAAACAATCATGACTTTCAATTTTTCAAAATGTTAAAGCTGATAGCTAATAGCTATATAATACCATGGAGTATTAGGTCCACATAAAATAAATAAAAACATCTGAAATTTTAAGATTACAGTCTTAATATTACCAGAAAATGGTAAATTTACAAGAATAAATTATAAAGAATAAAGTCTTGAGAGAAGAAGGTCAAAATATAAATTTTGAGTCGTAAATTTATGAGATTAAGGTTGTAAATTTAAAATAATAATGATGTAAATTCACAAGATAAGAGTTGTAGTTTTACAAGATTAGAGTCTTAATTTTATGAGATGAAAGAAAGAATGTGCGACTTTTTGATCCAGTAGATTGGCGCACCTCCAACCCCCTCTCCACTCGAGTTCATATGAAGGAGTTATGAATCAGAGCACATCATAATTAAAAAACATTTAGAGGACAAAATTGTCCTTTGCTCGAGCTGCAATTGCCTGTGGTCTTTATTGTTGTGTTAGCAGGCTAATGTTAGCACACTTTGGTTAACTCATAGCTTCATATTGCACATGACACGGAATGACCGAAATCTAAAGACACTTACATGACATCCAAATAAGCAGTGAGAAGGCTATGTTATTCTTCTTTTCTGTAGTCCTTGACTAAAACAGCTTTATATGCAAGGCCGTCCCGTCCATGTAGACATGATGTAATCACAGCTCTGACAACATTACAGCTGGCGGTACTCACGCTTCTCACTCATTGTAGACAGTCATAACTCAGAGAGACGTTTACAGAGGCTAAACTTGATGGACAATGGTTTTCATGGGCATTACAAATTCCTTTCATAAAGATGGTTTTATTATTTATGTCCACTGTTTGTATTATTGACAAGTTATTGTCATTCAGCACCATCGCTAAAATGATTCATCTTGAGCGTCATACTCAGTTACAACAAATATGATTCTGGTACATGTTATGCACAGATATGTGCAGGCTACAAAGTACATTTCTGACCTTGTTCTTGTAAATTTACAACTTGAATCTTGTAAAATTATTACTTTGATCTCAAAATTTTTGATTTTTATTTTAACATGGCCCTGATACTTACATTAAAGACAGTATCAGAGGCTGATCAGAACAAATCTAGTTTGATTTATGCACTTACCTCTGTGTTAAATACTGATCTTACTTCATGTACAATGATAGAATTGAGAGCCAAAATTTCTTCAGAGGGTCCTAAATACTCTGTCTAAGAATGGTATGGACTCATCTAGTCAAAGTTTTACTTCTCTGATGGTTCCTGAATGCTTCAAAAATGTTCATACAACTGCAAGGCCCGCCCCAAAACCCTGTTCTCCCCTATTTAGATTGCCATTTGAAGATGCAATATTTACTCCCCTGTGATGTTTCTCCTTCAATCTGAATGTTGCATGGGCGTAATTGGGGGACAAAGTGATCCCCCCTCTGTACAGTATTCTGAGGTATAGCAACAGAGGCGTTACAGAGAGGAGTTTTAGCTGTGAAAGCCAGGGAGGGTAGAGCCTAAGTGTGTGTCTATATAACGCCATAACCCAATGGGAATTCACATACTGGGACATCAATATGATGCCGTTGCAGAATCATTATGAATGTACAGACGTGATGGCGGTTGAGCTTAGTTACGACACTTTTGCAAAACAAAAAACAGCAGTCTGCAAATGTCTTCTGAAAGTTCCACCCCTGCAGCAGAGACCTTTTGAGAGGTAAAATTCAGTTCATGTATCTATATTTACACCGTGATCACTGTGGTGAACATCAACAGAGTACCTCCAAAAGTACCTAGTCCCC